AGACTTATTTATACATGAACTGGGGTATAGGCCAGAGGTATGTGAGTGAGAGGATTTACCAGGGACAGAGTGGGGAGCAGAACAGGCAGATTGATTGAAATACACTGCTGAGGGGAGCTGCAGGGAGACAGGAGAGGTCTGCTGCACCATGTGGGTCACTCCCTGGCCAGGAATCGAACTGATGCTGCAGTGGCCACAGATAGGTTCATAGTGCTGCACTTTAACCCGTTGCATCACCAGGAAAGACCCAGTCCTGACTTTTTTTGGATAAATGCCTGGAAGTGTAATTGTTAGGTCATATGGTAGTAAAATCATATTCAGATTTTTTTTTTTAAAGATTTATTTATGCATACAGAACTGGGGTACAGGCCAGAGGTGCAGGGTTGGTGAGAGAATCCTCCAGAGACAGAGTTGGGAGAAGAACAGGCCGATCAATGAAGTACACTGCTGAAGGGCGCAGCGGATGGGTCGTGAGTGGTCTGCCACACACGAGCATCACCTCCGGGGCGGGGATCGAACTCATGTTGAAGTGACTTTAGCTTCTTAGTGCTGTGCTGCGCCATCAGGGAGGGCTGCATATTCAGAACTTTAAGAAATTACCATAATGTTTTTCCAGTGACTCTATCACTTCCATTTGATATTCCCACCAGCACTGCGTGAGTGGGTATAGCTCTCTGCCCCTTCCTGCATTGCTTTTCTTTCTTTCCCTTGCCCCATGCTCTGCCCTGTGCCTTGCATGTGTGTTTTGGTAATGAATAGTATTTGCTTATCTTGCTGTGAAGTTAAAATTTGCTTCTTTCAATAAATTTTTACAGCTACAAAAATGCCACAGAGTTTGATTTTGATAAAGATAAATATGACATCAGAATTCCTGAAGATTTAGATGAGACAACAGGGAAGAAAGGCTACAAGAAGCAGGAAAGGATAGACCAAGTTGCCCCTGAGAGTGACTATTCCCTGAGGGTACGTATTGGCTGTCTGTTGAAATGAGATAAAAACCTCAAATAATGAAAAATACCTCAGCTGCTGTGAAGCTTCACTGTGGCTCACTGCACTCTCTTGAGGGCTCCTATTCATCTCTGAGGGAAAGTGTCTCCAACATGAATCAACTTCGGAGCTTTTCCTGAACACACTGGTAGGTTTTTTATGTGTGACGTCATCAGGTCTGGAGTTCTTTCAGAATATGGCTAGACAACTTGAGGTGGGTACTAGAGTCCGTATATTCCCTATTGGCCAGAGTGATTTATTCAGCCAAAAACACCATACTCAGAGTACCTGCTTTAATTCCAAATATTCCAGAATCCACACACATATCTATACATAATACTCACCTTAATTGACATCCTGACAATCCAATAAATTGGATTGTATAGATAATGTATACTAACATAATTTTTTGATAAAACAGATTTGACCTTAGATATAGGTATTTTTTTTACAACTTTTTTATTATTATAATAGTTTATTTTTACACCATTTTGTGCCTTTTTCCATCTCAGTTGTAATCCCCATGGACTTCCATCATCAGTTTACCTGTGTGCCACCACCATAGTCCCATGTAATCCCTTTCCCCCCCATTTTTGATCCCCCCCATTTTTGATCCCATTCCCCACTCCACCCCCGTAAAATGTCTCTGGTATATAGTTGTTCATTATTATTGTTATTTTACACCTTCCCCCCCTTTATGCTCCTGCTATGCATGAAGCCATCTGGTATTAGAAATGTTTTTAACATTGAAGATGAAGTCAGTATCTTGTAACAGGTTCATATAATGACCGCAGTATTAAGCCAGTTACTGTGATAAGGCACCTCATACTAACCTTTCTTTTTACTTCTGCTAACATTGCTCCGTAACTCCAAGTTGAGGCCCCGTGTGACACCTATGCGTTTGCCCTGTAACTTTGCTGACGTCCTGGCAACAGCAGTGGCAGGTGTCGCTCTTCCTGGGTGTCTGCCATTGCGGCAAGGGAATTTTACTCGAGTATGGAACTAGTGGTTTGAGCAGATGATGTGGCTTTAGTATACCGGCAAGTAAAATGTTCTGAACTGTCATTAATGAATTTATAAATTGACAGCAAGTCTGTCACTAGTTTTAAAATCAGGAGTCAAGAAAAATTCAAATTTTAATTTGATGTTGAACTTTAGTTACTCATTTCTTTCAGTGTTTTTTGGTAGCTTGAAGGCAGGTAAAGAAAAGTGTATTTTTAAATGTTACAGGTCATGAAGTCTGGTCTAGATTGTGGATATTTAAACTTCCATGTGTGGAAGGACACATAGGTGTCTGCCATAATAGTGACACAAGCTGTGCAACTTCTGTTGTCTGACAAATCCCGGGCGGAAGGGCAAGCCTCTGAGAGATCAGAATTTCCACTGCTAACTTATGTTGAGATCTCTCTTTTTTGTATAATCACAATATCAAAATATTCTGAGCAACCATCAGCTTACAACTAGATTGCCTTAGCCTTGGCAAGCAGGCGCTACCCCAGGGCAGGAAAGTCCTCTGTCTCCTGAGACAAAAGGCGAGCCCCAGGAGAGATAAGACCCCAGCGCGTAAAGACTCCTGGGCAGCTTCCTCAGTCTTTTGAAATAAAAAGCAAACCTTAGGTAAGACTCCCAGGGCATAAGGACTCATGGATAATTCCCTAACCCTGTTTACACAGGTGTTGCTTAGTGCATGACTCTATAACTTCTTCTTAATTTACCCTTTTCTTGAATAATCACTAACTACTCTCTGCTAACCTTAAGTTAGCTGTTAGCTTCTGTTTAGACAACCACTGATCACTCTGCTAACATAGCACTCTGCTAACATAATTTATCCCTTCCCTAAGACTCCTACCAGTCCTTTGCTAACAGCTCGTCTTTTCCCAGACCCCTTATCCTTTGAGTTATAGTCAAACATCCATATACATGACAGTTATCACAAATGTGTGTAATTTATTATACCATAAAGTGTCAGGGTCAGGATGTTTTGTTCCCCTCTTCCTTGAGAACGTTTATAGCACTTTATGGTGATTTCTCATTAACTTACCCTATGCATTATTGTAATAAACTACTTGCTACACAGTAAAATAACGACTTGTTGAGAAAATAGGCCGGAAGACTTGCTCTGAACCCCCACTCCCATGTCTTCCTTGCTCCCTCTCCCATCCCCCTTTTTGGAGTCTCCTACGCCAATGCCAGATCCCACTGAGAGACCCTGACCGCTGCTGTGTGTTGAG